CTGGGTTTCGAAGAGAAACACCTAGGTCGCGATACGAAATGATGACCTGGTCAGTCCGCCCGGTCAAAGGTCAGTCAGTTTCACATGGACCGAGAAATTTCACAGAGTTTTGACCTCTCATCAAAGCAGAGCTTATTTCCCAATGACAACCACTGAAAATACAGTTTACAAACAACTCGTGTAAATCATCCATTCACAATTTTCAGTTGAGTTACAAACAATTTATTTTCCGTGTTTCTGCTGTATTTTGAAAATATCATGTGTTTAGTTTACTCTTAATAGTACTCGTCACAAATTTCAACGGATTTATTCCACATATTTCATTGTTCACTGTAGTCACGATATGCAGCAATTGTTCCAGCAGTTTGCACATCCAAACATTTGAAATTCAATTTCTTTCACCGAAAAATCCAGCAATGTATCATTGAAAAGACATCATAATTCAACAGACGCCACATTGCAAGGCAAAAAAGTGAGACATCGTAGTACAGATGACCTCACCATTTATAGTATCAGTTTATTTCATATGGTAAACTGTTTCTATGATTTATAGATAGTAATATTTGTTTCACTATAAAAAAGCAATACGACAATCCTATCACAGTCTAATAAACTACACTGTTTTTGTTACTAAATTCATAGATTAATAACATCTACATCCTCGTCACAAATTAGATATATCAGATGCATCACATACACACAAGAATACCTCTCGGTGGAGCTTCTCACGGCCTCGTCCTAAAATCATACTTATTCTGTGAAATGTACATACAACATGAAAGTGGCTGTTAATGAGCTTCATTTTACAAATCATTAATACGTTTAAAGAATTTTTTCTTCGCCAAATACAACGAGATTGTGTTCACTTAACAAAAATCGCAGGTAGTTCAAATTGGCACGACACCGTTTTTATATAGATCACTTTTAGTTACGGATGTCTACTTAACAAACTGAAGTCTGATATCTGTTAGAATCGTAAAACTTGCAGGAGTTATCTCAGCTGACCTTGCACATCACTTGATCAAACGTGGCATGACTCCTTGCATGTATATCTCAGAAGAAAAAATAAGACACAACACTTCCAATGCCGGGGTTCTTTTCTTGCTCTCTGTCTCTCGTACCTCATATGGATACATGAATTATTGCCAAAGTCAGTCACTAACAAGGATCTCCGTGCCTATGCCAAAAAATTCACACTAGGAATTGTATATCTCCTAAAAGTGACAAGAGCGAAAGGAAGACAGAAGGAGGGAAGAAGCAACAGAGGTGAAGGTTAACAAGGGTCGTGCTCGAGGAAGGGAAGAAGTCTGAGCGACGGAAATGCTATGGAATAGGAATGGGAAGGGTACTCAGGAGCTTGAACAGAGAAAAGAAGACATGGAGATAATGCTTGATAGAAACTTAGACCCAGTGACGAGAAAGAGTGGCGACCTACAGGCCATAGACCTTGGTCTATGGCTACTGTGCAACCGTGGCACCGTGATGGCGAACAGGAATCCGAAGTGCGAAGCGACGGAGGCGGTCGGCCACGCGGCGACCCAGGTCCTAGATTCGAGGCTGATATTGCTTTCAAGACATCGCGCTTTCGGGCTGCCGCAGGAGTCCACGCTAACCGGTAGCGGGAGAACAGGAAGGGTGAAGTCTAGGCGTCGTGGAGACCTCAGGACTGGGTGGGGTCGAAGCTAGTGTCGGTGGGCGGGACGGTTGTGTTGAGGCCGTGCGAGGGCCCCTGCAGCCGGATCAGGATGTCCTGGTTCTCCTTCCGAACTGCAACGAAACAGAGAGTCAGAGAGCGGTTGAGACTTGTCAACTTTTAAAATATATGCTCTGTGTACATAAACATACGCTCACAAACACGCAAGCAAGCAAACGCGTATATGGGGGTATGTGTACGTGTGCAGTTGTGTATGATACTAATGATGCTAATGATAATGATAAGAACTGCTGTGGTAATAAATGAGATGACATTATGATAATTGCGATGGAGATAATGATAATAATAGTGATAGCAATAACAACAGCAAAACAAAAACGAAAACGAAAATAATAATCATTATTACTATAATGACCTTAATAATGATAAAGGCAACAACAGTAATGATAACAATAACAAAAGTGGTAACAGTAACAATAATGAGAACAATAATGATGGCCATGATAATTATGATAACAATGACAATAGTGATAACAATAACAATAATGATGATAATGATAAAAATGATAGTAATAATACAAAAAAAATAATAGTAATGATAATAATAACAATGACAATAATAACAATAATAGTAATAATAACAATAATAATAACAATAATAGTAATAATAACAGTAATAATAATGATGGTAACACTAATGATAATAATGATAATGATACTAATGATAATAATGATAATGATACTAATGATACTAATGATAATAATAACAAGTATAATAATAACAACAATAATAATAACAATAATAATAATGAAAATATAATGATAACAATGATAGTAAGAATTGAAAAATGTAAAATGATGGTGATAATGATAATCATTATTATCATAAATGCGTGTGCTTGAATACCCAAAGGGAGAGAGAGAGGCTGTTGCATATCAGTCATATGTAAACATGTGGACAGCAGATTGAGTACTACCAAGCACACCCACTCACACACCCGCGCTTGATGATAAACTAAAGATCAGAACACGAATCACGTGCCCCGGCAAGCGGTGCCAAGTATAAAAAAAGAAAAAAATCACCAGGCACTGTGCCCTCCCTGCCACCTACTGCTCTGGCACGAGCCAAATAGAAATATTATTATAGATGCTTTTTATTCAATTTCATTCATCATGTCTACACCTATACGATATAGTCACACAAACAACTACACACACATGCTCCCAGGGGGACATTTTATTTTATTTTATTTTACTATGAGTCTGTGCATTTTGTGAGGTTTATTTGTTTATGAGTAGGATGGCGTAGAAAGTTAGTGTTTCGGCGAAAATGGACTGTTGAATGGAGACTTGCAGTGATCCGGGTAAAAGCAATCATAGAATATATATATATATATATATATATATATATATATATATATATATATATATATATATATATATATATTCCACTGCAGCCATTTATTCCACTGCAGGACATAGGCCTTTCTCAATCTACTAGAGGTTGTATGGCAGTTCCACCCTTGCCTGATTGGATGCCCTTCCTAATCAGCCGCGGTTCGGCGCGCTAACACTTGTGGCACGGCGCAACATCCCTTAGGACACATACATTTGACTTTTCAAGGCGTTTTCTTGGGTTCGAACGAGCAGTCAGAGCGCAGGCAAGTCGCGGCAAGTAATTGAACTCGGGACACACACATATATACATATATATACATATACATATATATATATATATATATATATATATATATATATATATATATATATATATATATATATACATATATATATATATATATATATATATATATATATATATATATATATATATATATATATGTATGTATATATATATATATATATATATATATATATATATATATATATATATATATATATATATATATATATGTGTGTGTGTGTGTGTGTGTGTGTGTGTGTTTATATCTATATCTATGTATTTATGTATATATGTATATATGTATATATGTATATATATATATATATATATATATATATATATATATATATATATATACATATATATATATATATACATATATATATATATATATATATATATATATATATATATATATATATACATATATATATATATATATATATATATATATATATATATATATATATATATATACATATATATATATATATACATATATATGTATATATATATATATATATATATATATATATATATATATATATATATATATATATATATATATATGTATATATGCATGTGTGTGTGTGTTATATCTATATCTATGTATTTATGTATATATTCACACACACACACATTTATATGCATATATATATATGTATATATATGTATACATATGTATGTATGTATGTATGTATGTATGTATAGATATACATATGCATATGTATATAAATACATATATTATATATATATATATATATATATATATATATATATATATATATATATATATATATATATATATATATATATAAACGTTTACATACACATACACATCTATACACACAAACATATTACATTCTCTTTTGGGTGAACTGTATTTATCACTACACACAAGTTCATTCACTCGGTCTGAGTTTGTTAAACCTCACATAATCCCAGGTAATAGTTGTGACTAGGAAAGCAATTCTCTGAGAGGCCGATGAAAAATTCATTACTATCAGACACAGGCGGCGGTGGTTTACAGAAGCTCATTCTTTAAAAGAAAAAAAAAGGAAACACAAAATCGTAGCACGGAAAGTAAATAGTAATCTCAAAGCGATTGAAGTGCCATAACAAATGCTCCATAGAGGGCAGGTATAACTCACAATATCTTGACATACGGAAAGCGCCCGCCTCCCACCTCTTCCGGGGGAATTAAGCCTTAGGCACTTGCACGCTACGGAATGCCGACGCTGATGGAGCGAGGAGTCCAGTCGAACGAGATCCTGCTGAGGATGGGGCTGAGGGCCCACGGAACCAGCGTCTTGAAGGACACGTGCGCCATCACGAAGACCATGGCGGCGAGCCGCAGGTTCCGATGGAGGGACGAAGGATACAGGATAGCGCGCGTGAAGGCTTCCTGCTGAATCACCGGCGACTCTAGGGCGTCTGACTCGGATTGTGGGCGTGGGGAGCAGCTTCTGCTGTGGTTTCTTCGGGTCGACCTCGAGGGCGTGCTAGCTCGACTGCTGGCCACGGAGCCTGCCAGTGACTCCGAGGACTGTCTTGGGACACCCAGAAGACGGGTTCGACTGGAGGGGCCGGTGTGTCGGGTGCAGGGCGGTGTTGATTTTCGACTGAATATGGGCGTGGACGGTGTGGAGTGTCGGGAGTAGGGTGGAGTTGTTCTCCGGCTCAGTGCTGGGGTCGATGTAGGCGTCGAACTCCCACTCCGACACTGGCGGCGGCGATAGTTATTATCCAGAGATGAATAAGGTGAAGAGTTTAATCGCATCGATCTTTCAAACTGCTCCTGCAACGAGCATGGAGGCCAGGCCGGCCCTGTGTTGGCCATTCTGATCACTTCTAAACGCACCGGAAGCAGTGATGAACACCAACACCAGGAGAGAAGCACTGTCACTTGCTTTGAGAAATATTATTCACTACTCAAGTCTTGAGCTTAGCGCTGCATTCGCAGACATTGTTCAGCAAGTAAATATTCTTTAATACTAATTCGCGGAGCATCGACCAGCACCTTGACACCAAGACCCTTGCACTGCGGCCATCACACCCCTGACAGTTGGCCGTGGTTAACTGCTAGAGCTATTCTCAGCTGGTCCACCAACCAGTCACTACCTGTTGGCTTCTGTCGCGATTTGCACGCCAGGGAGCATTGCTTGAGGGAGAAGTGATAGAGCGAAGATATGTAATGACACGAGGAAATGGAGCTGATATTCACTCATTACATCAAGTCAGATAGTTCCACAAACCGTCTATCTTCAATACCATAAGGAACGAAATGGTAAAGCAACCCCATGTCCTCTCTTTTTCGTTTGACATCCTTTGGGAACACAGCCAACCGAGTGACATAAGCAGGTAAATACAACCTCCAAGTATATGATTTGTAAGAATGCCCTTTGCTAGTATACATCGCGCTAAAGAAAACTTCATGACACTATACGATAAGCAAAGGCCCGTTGCACGTCGCTGTATAACTCGAAAATTTGTTTTGTTTACGAACCTTACTAGCAAAGTGGCCACGTGGCCGCCTAGAAGATTTGTTTACATCGGGTGTGCTGTGCAGAGGGGTTCATCTCCTTGCTTCAGGATTGCACGAGCACACGCACACCCACAACCATACATACATACATACATACATACATACATACATACATACATACATACATACATACATACATATATATATATGTATATATATATATATATATATATATATATATATATATATATATATATATATATATATATATATATATATATATATGTATAAATAAATACATATGTATATACAAATGTATATGTATATATCTCATATATATACATATATATATATATATATATATATATATATATATATATATATATATATATATATATATATATATATATTATATATGTATATACATATATATACATATATATATATATATATATATATATATATATATATATATATATATATATATATATGTATATATATATATATATGTATATATATATATATATATATATATATATATATATATATATATATATGTGTGATATAGTGTGTGTGTGTGTGTGTGTGTGTGTGTGTGTGTGTGTGTGTGTGTGTGTATGTGTGTGTGTGTCTGTGTATATGTGTGTGTATGTGTGTGTGTGTGCGTGTATGCACATACAGATACACATACAGATACACATACACATACACATACACATACACACACTCACACACAACACACACAATGTATATTCAATACATATATATATATATATATATATATATATATATATATACATATATATATATATATATATATATATATTATATATATACATATATATATATATATATATATATATATATATATATATATATATATATATATATATATATGTATATATGTACATGTATATATGTATATATATTATGTATATATGTAT